CAAAACTTCAAGCTGTAATGTCTTTCTTACAGACACGTTTTCCTCAGTTTCACAACGCCACTGCACTGCACATAATAAATAATAATAATCATAACAATAATGATGATGATAATAATAATTATGATAATAATAACGACAATTATAATACTTAATTATATAGAAGACATAGTTACTTATACTGAATAATATTAAATATATTTATAACACACATATGAACATTCAGGAAACTAATTTACTTTTAAATTTGCTCAGGAATATATTCAACGTGACTTATAAGTAAATCACGAGATATAACTTGTATAGTAGTCAAGGTTAAGACGTTACAAATGTGCGCAAACCCCCTAATTTCTGCTGTCGGCAACTCGCATTGAAACACCTTTACCCGCAAAAAGGAGACTCCGTAGTGCATCTCCACTTGACAGAAACTTTCCCCGTTGAAGTCAGCCGCGGAACTATAAGGAACCAGGAGTGGCTGGCGGAGATGCTCGTTACGGCGGAGACAGCGCAAAAGGATTTCGCTGTCGCGGCCTTGTTTGTCGCGGCCGCTGACGGCGTAACGAGCGGCAGAATCGAGGGCGGCGCGCGGCGCGGAGGGCCGTTGATTCCATCGACAGCGGAGCCGCTCGGTTAGAGGTTCAAAGGCTGCGCGAGTATGAGCATTGTGACGTCGTTGCGAAGTAATAAGATGCAAGGAAACATGGAGGCGGTGGCTGCGCTTGGGGACGAGAAGCGACTAGGAACGGAGTGTACTTTGGAAGGGGTTCTGGTGTTAATTTAAATACCGGGAAATGTGGCTCAGGGTATCAACTGATGTCACTGCAGTGTGTCTGACGGGGATATTCTAGGGTTCGAGTCTCGACGGCTGATGTTCGGCACTCGCTAGATAGGGAGGTCGAATTCAGTCTGGAGGAGAATTCTAGAGGTTGACTGCTCTGATCCGTAGCTCTCCGTGGTTTCTCCGATCGACATCTGGCGAATGCCGGAGCAGTTCTGTAACAAACGGGACACGTATCGCGCGCGATCTTTCCTTCCTCTTCTTTGTCCTATTCTAATCCCTTACACACACTTACACTAACATGCACTACATCATAACTCTTGTCTGGAGACCACTCGTAATCTTACAGCTTGTCTCGGCTGCGCGGTGCTTCACTTGTGTGAGGGAAATCCCAGCATACCGACGTAGGGCGGAGCTGCATCTGGCAGGCCAGCAGAGACAGATCACTGCCACCTCGCGCTATGAAAGCATACACTACGCTTACGGTACTAATGGCATTAGCCGTTGACGAGCCACTAATCAATGTTAATTGAAATGTTTTATGAATAGATAGGTAGGAATGGCATTTCTACAAATCTCTTCCAAAGATTCATTTATTTCCTCATTGTTTATTGGTAAATCAATATAGGATGTAGTAAAAACTGATTTTATCGATGCTTGAGCTTAATAAAAACCTAAATAATATACTTACAATTTGTTTGACACATACTGAAGTAATTTCTCCATTATGCATTTTTCAATTTTTTAAAAATATTTTAACGAATTGAATGTATTATGGTTGTAGTGCGCAAGTAACATACCAAACCCTTTCACTTCGCCACTTCCTTCCGTGGAAGATATATCTTCTACCTCAAAATCACATCTTGAACTGTTGTATTCTTAGTCTAATGAACTGTAATTGTGAATTTTGTATACTCGTAAACGCAATAAGACGTACGAGAGCAAGACATCATAAGGTTCTATGTTCAAACGCAAATATTTCAAAATATTGATTTTTTTAACCTTCTGCGAGTATAAAGGAATATGTAAATCCACATGACGATATTGTACATTTGGATTTCCATGATACATGGCCACTCAAAGTTGGACGAATTCTATACAATTGATTCCCAGAACTATAAAATAATTTTCATTTTTGATGAATATGTCACTCCTTGTTTATATAAAAACAATACGATAATTTTACAAGATAAAACATAATATATTGTTCTTCAGAATTACTTACTTCGCAACGTACACTATAGTTGATGCATTTTTTACATTTTGTATGCACACGTACGTCACGCCTGAATGGAAGCTTGAATAAAGCATCTTCCTGGGCAGCATAAAAGTAAAATTATTTTTTCCTGGAAGGCAAACTGCCAACAAACGCAAGTCCGGCCGCTACAGCGAAATCCTTTCTGCTTGAATGGGAAGGGTGTGTTATCCAATTCTGTGAAAGATACTGAAATACGGAAAACAAACCATCACTAAGGCGTCCTAACCGGTAGTGCGGTACAAATCTTGGGCTGAAGTGGCTAAGGGCTTCCACTGATGTCACTGCAGTGCCCGGGATCTCACCATCCAGAGGAGCAAATAGCACCGTCGCTTTCCTTGATAAAATCACGCAATACACTTACGGAACTAATGACCTTATCACATGTCTCAAAACATAAATTAATCAATAAATGATTCAGACATAAGGGTTGTGTGTTCGATTTTTCCTTGTGTATAGATGTTACTCTTGTATTCTGGAATGATGGGCACTCTCATTCGGTATGCATAATTTTTCAAAAATTGTTAGTTTAGTGTAATTTGTTGTGATCTTAAGAATTTAAATAACCACAATAATTTGTCTTAGTCAATTTCATATTTTGGATAGTGCAATGATTTGGAAGAAATGGCACAATTACTTCAGTCCTATACAGATGTCATAAATATAGCAAGCGATTCATCAAAAATACTAGTACAGTCTTAGCATTCACTAAGAGTTCGGTAAAATTGAAGAGTTGTTTGGGATTTATTTCGAAATTTTCTTTTGAAATGGCATCTTTTCACCACTTGTTTCACCCTATTAAATTAAATATAACTTTGTCAGAATGTATTTGGTTCTATCCTATCTATAGACAGAAAAGTATATAATAATTTTAAACTCTGAGGACCTTGTGATTGATAGGGTGGGAAGTAGGAATTGCCATTAGGTTAGTTCGGAATGTGCAGAGGATTAGGTATAATTAAAAAATGACACCGTTAGTTCTCATAAATGGCGTTCCATTGCACGAATGAAGTATGGGCAAGGGCATATATAATGAGAATTTGAGTTGCGGACGATTCGAGGCAAAATGCCATGTATTATTAATCAAACTCTTACACTTTGTACCAAAGAAAACATTTTCTCGATTTTTGCACTTTTTTGTTATGAAACGGAGTGTATCTTCTCGTCACCTACAACAAATCTGGACTTCTTTGAAACGATACGAAGAAACCTTCCTCCTGACGTGTGTATCATCTTCATTATCAAAACCTTGTCTGCCCGATATGCGCGTGACCCTCATACCCACATGTTCAGGTATCATAGTAAAAAACAATTTTTGTTTTGGGGTCCCTCGAAACGAATTAAACTTTTGAAATGTCGCCTTTAAATTTTTGAAGCTAATCCAAAATTTTTCCTCCAAACTACGTACAATAGTAAAAAGGTAAAAATAGGAAACAGCCTTTATTGTTGATCTTGGCCGAACGGGTCACCCAACGTCAAAAAATAAGACACTAATATTTCGATCCGAACGGCCAAGAACAACAAGACAGAGACACCAGCAGTCTACATACGGCTGCCGTAATCCGCCTTAGAGTTTTGTGGCCTCTTTCTCCCGGCACACGGCTTGAAGAGACCTGCGTTAACCAAACTCGCTAGTCATTGGCTCTAGATAGAGAAGCGTTGTCATTTGGTTTGTCATTGCCGAAATAAGTATCCATTAGGTTTTTTATGCCACAGGATATCTCCGTCAAGAAGAGTTCAGGTATTGGACAGACGATCGGTTTGCAGAACAATTGATGGCTTTGCAGATAAATTTCAGTATATAATTATTGCTTTTGAATAAGTGAGTTATTCTCAGAAACCATAGTTTAAACTTCTACATAATAGTATGCAAAGGAATACGTTACTCACTTAATCTTGAGGCTGAAATTGCTCATTCATAATGGAACGTAAAAGTGTGAGAGTGACGTAAATGCAAGAACTTGGTGCCATGATTTGCAATGGAACTACTGACATTGACGAACATGAACCGAAACCAACACATTAGAAGATGTAAACGCGTTTCATGTTCACGTTTTCAAATCAATACACTATCACATCCACGCAGCAAGATTCAAAGAACTAGCAATTACGTTTGATATAAAATATTCCTTTGTGTAAAAACATAAATTCCTATTCATCATCATTAACCTTTATCCAATACTGCATAGAATCATTTGTAACGAGTGTGGTATGAAATAGTTATCATCCAAACATGATCGCATTCATTTTAATTAATGCAGTTCGATTGTGTGTAGGATTTCTGTACCGATTATTTATTGTGTCGATATCGATGAGTGGCTGCGTTCACATTTACGAGCACAATCATTGTGCTTGTAATGCGGCCACATTTATGTTAATGTCATTAGGTCGACGTTCATGATTTCAATGTGAATCTGCAGTGATGCTGTCTAGGAGGTTTGTTTGGAGACGACACGAGTTACATAGCTGAGTACAAAGAATGATGTTCTGGCTAGGACGATGGCCCACGGGGGCCTCTTTTTGCTTTTTTCATAATTTGTAGAACTATAGTAATATGAATATTGAAAACGCTATTTGAAGGATTGCAATAAAAATTATGTAAGTGAAATTTTTATACTTTGGAAAAAAAAAGAGTTTATATGTGCGTTGAAGCCGTTGGCACACACAACTCCTGCCATTTATACACCGTAACACTATCAAGAAATGCATCTGGTCTTTAGTTCTTATATTATAGGGCTGTTCTATTCATCATTATTCTGGTAAAAACGAAAATTTTACAGGTATGAACTCGCCTCCTTTTTATTTTTAAATTTTAAAGTCTTTGATTAATCAATCAGTTCATCGTGAATGGCTGAGCTGAGCGCTGAGTTGAGCTGAGCGCTGAGCTGATCTGAGCGCTGAGCTGATCTGAGCGCTGAGCTGAGCTGAACGCTGAGCTGAGCTGAGCTGATCTGAGCGCTGCCTGCGCAGGTCGTCCGTCGCCGGCGGTGCGATGGTGGCGCGGCGAGCGGCTGCTGGACGCGCACGAGCTGCCCAGCCCGTTCCCGCAGGTGCGCCAGAGCCAGCTGCTGGTGGAGCCGCTGACGCGCGCCGACCTGCACACGGTGTACACGTGCCAGGCCACCAACAGCGCGCTCACGCCGCCCGCCTCCGCGCGCGTCTCGCTCGAGATGCACCGTGAGTACCCTGCGGCGGCGCCACCCGCACCAAGGAAGCGAAGGAGCCACTCGGCGGCGCCACCGACAAGCGCCTTCACACTAGCGATGCGACATCCATAACGAAACCCCGATGTTTTTAAACATTGATATTTTGAAATCTGATTTAATATCCTCTAGGTGTAAATTGCCGCGGAGAAAAATTTAATTCAATTCTAGTTGTCATGTTTAATGTCTAATTAAGTATTAACTATCAAAAAAGTAACAAAAATAATTACATTTTATAAAACTGTTATTATAGGAATGAGTAATACAAAAAATATGGCTTACTATATTATTTTGTGTACAAAAATGCAATAAACGCTTGTTTATTTGTAACCATTACAGGCCCCAATATTTTTTATTGGCAGTTTGTAAACACAGTTTGCACACGAATAGCACTTACAAACTTCTAACTACTAACTTCAAATCCTCGCGAGAAACTGACTCGTAAAGCCTGAATGTTGAGGGTCACCTGAGGGCTTCAGAGCTTCCTCAGTTCCCAGAAAAGTGAACGGGAGGAAGGGAGGACCCCTATAGACTTACACATACGTCTTTGCATTCGCCTCTCCGTGTGATACGAAGAGAGGCATAATAAATATCAGCGGGATACCTCGCAGTCAAGAGATGCTCTGCTCTGCTCGATGAAGGTGCGTTCCGTTTGAATCCGTGAATCGCCAGTTACATATCAATACTTTATCTCTTACAAAACTGGGATTATGGTACTGTTATATTTACAGAAAAAATACGAAAACATAAAAACATCGAGCACTAAACATCGAGGTTAAAAAACATCTGTTTTAAAACATCGATGTCGCATCCTTACTTCACACACAGTCACAAGCCAGCGACACAGCGTGAGAAAGGAAGGATTCACCGCTGTGGGTGACGGTAGCCGCAAGTCAATTAGCATGTAAACAGATACGCTCAATGGTGCTTGCAAGTGGGTGCCATTTATCAATGTGCTCTGCTGTGGGTGGCGCGGACGCGCGTGTGGGTGTCTAGTTGCGGGAGTGCGTGAACTACCACAGTGGCGCCAGCGTTTCTGCTGCCACTGCGATTCTAGTGGCGGGAGTGCGTAACCACCGCACCGCGCGTAGGAATACCTTCATTTAAACCAACACTCTGCCACCAGGCGCGCCAATACGAAGTGCTAATGAGGAGTTTCCTGTGAAGCGATCCTAACCTGAGTGTAGTTTTCCAGTGGCCTAGTGTGAAGGGTGTCACTTAGAACTGTGTTCTGGACGTGGTGGCGCGGAAGCGCGTTTGCGCTGGTGCTGGAGGGAGTGCGCCACTAACTTTCGCACCAACCTCACTACAACTTTCGTGCAAACACCTCCATTTGAACTAATTTAATGTCAGCAGCCGCGCCTCTCGGAAACACTGATGAGTGACTCCGTGTTAAGGAGCTCTTATATCTAATGTAAAATGTCTTCTTGAAACAAATATTCAGGGAGGGAAAGTATTCATATTTAGCCTTGCAGTTCAAGATAGGATTCAATGATTTTCGGATATGTAACATGCCAGAAACATATTTTACTAACATGTACTACACAAGTACATATGCTGGAAGACCGGTCAGGAGCTCAGATCTCGTCCCGGCAGGAGCAGTGCCCGCTGGTGGGAGATTTCTGGTTGTGGAAAAAACCAGCTAACCGATCTCGCCATACAGCGGTGGAAAGATCACAGCCACCTCCTGAGCTAAACATGCACTACACTGACGGGACTAATGACCCTGGTAGTTGACAGGCCCGGAATCACTAAGTCAGTTAACCCACTCTTGTTGGAATTCGAACTTGGCTGCTTAGATGACGTCAAAGCCCTCCCTCTGAGCTTCATTGCTGCGTGGCTACTGAGTGCCCTGGCGAGCGCGTGTTCGGGTGCGGTAGGTTTGACAGCTCTGTGAGTCCACTCATGGCTTCCTTTGCAGTGCGCCCGCTCGGGGCCTCCATTATTACGCCCCGCCAGCCCCTGTCCGCGGGCCGCCGCATCGAGGTGGACTGCATGGCTTCGGGGTCGCGGCCGGCGGCCAAGCTCTCCTGGTGGCTCGACAACCAGGCGCTCGTCGGCAGCGTCGACAAGGTACCACGTCCCGCTTTTTAGGAATAACCTCCAATTGATATTGTACTTTTAAGCTCTCCTGGTGGCTCGACAACCAGGCGCTCGTCGGCAGCGTCGACAAGGTACTACGTCCTGCTTTTTAGAAATAACCTCCAATTGAGATTGTAGTTTTAAGCTCTGGTAAGTTGCTCGACAACCAGGCGCTCGAGAAGAAGGCAGCGTCGACAAGGTACTACGTCCTGCTTTTTCGAAATAAACGAGATTATAATTTTAAGCTCTGGTAAGTCACTCGATAATCAAGCGTTCGTCGGCAGCGTCGACAAGGTACGTTTTGCTTTTCGAAAACAACTTCAATTCTAATTTTAGTTTTAAGCACAAATGTTGGTCGGAAGCGTTAAATAGGAATGCCATGTCTCTTTCAATAAGTGGTCAAATTTTCAAAGGTGAAAATGAGTACAAACAACTTCAAAACAGTTTCTGTTGTTAAGCTCTGCTGGTAAGGCGACTATCAGTCATTGGCTCGCAACGTCGACAATATACATCTTCGTTTTTCAAATTACAAAAGAAGATAAATATTAGAAGAAACAACTTCGCCAACAAGGACTGTTATGTTTCATCTATTTCAAAAGAAAATAAATCTACGTATAAGCACATAAACTTTCCTTGTGATGTTGAGTTCTTCATCAACACGCATCACCTGGAAGGCATATCTTTTTTTGTCCAATAAAAAAGGTGAACATGCTATTATTCCTTCGCGAAGTGTCCACAATCACTGCTACGACACGCGTCCACAATAATTTCGAATTACGCACGATTCCAAGCGTTTGCCGTTTCAGGTCGTTTAACGCCGTAACGGCGCGTTGCACATTCCTCGCGAAGAGGCCGTCGGTCTTCCGAAGTCGAAGTTGCGTTGCGCCTTCAGACTGAGGAATGTCCTCCGAGTGTCTCTGCTGTTGCCAACTTTCCCGACTCAGGCGCCGCGTCATACAATTTATTCCTTCCTAAGAGAGGCCATGAAAAGTTTACATGCATCGTTTGCCGTTGCGGTGGTAGCCACAAAGCAAGGCCCAACGCAGGCGCGCTGCCGTCGTTCCGCTGAAAGAGGATGTGAGGGAGAATAATGGCGGCTCACGAAAGTATGAACTGCTAAGAAAACGGTTTTGTATTTTGTGTATGACAAAATTTTTATGTGAGTTTTACAATGTAATATTTAACATTGTCGCTTATAAAACTGCTGAACGAATATTTCTATTTCTAATACTAGTTTGTAACACTTTTTATAACCCTAATACATCATTTAGTATTCTCGCTTTTCGGATTTATATATTAAAATTTTGACTTTCAAAATTACAAAATATTTGTTAATATATTTTTAACATGAAAAAATATAGCTTTAACGTTTTGAGCTTCAGTTTAAGTTTCCGTTTTATGTTTCAGTGATATTATTGTGATGAAATAATTGATAATTACTCTTGGGTTAACAATGTCATTGATAGAACTGGTTCTTTTAAGAATCACATTCTTTCTTTCAGTCGCTGGCATTTTTCTTACGAAATCCTAATCAATCTCCGCAGGATTGGATATCCCTGTGGTCATTTTTCTGACCTCCTTTTCTCGTACCTTCTTGCCTCTCCTTACCTACCTCTCCGCCTCATCCCCCCTTCATCTCCTCGCCTCATACCCCCACCACATCTCCCCGCCTCATTTCTCCCCACCTCATCTCGCCCTGCCTCATAACTCCCCATCTTCTCCTCAACCTAAACTCCAGCCACCCTTCACGCCCATCTTGCTAGTCACGATAGTCACCCAATCTTGACACGTTGGGCTGCCCATTCTCGTGATCTGCCCTCCCTGCTCCCCTCTCTATCCTACTTGGCTTCACGCACTGTATTCGGCTGACATATGCGTCCTTAATCTATCTTTTCCCTTCACTCCCCTTCTCCCATCCCTTTCTATGCCCCATTTTTGATACGCTCGTCTTCTTTCTGTCCAGCATTTCTTGGCAGCCTCGCGCCACCGCGTTCTGCCTCTCATCTCCATTCCTTGCCCCGCTCCTCTCAACACCGCCCTGCTTGTCCCGCATTTGCAGTTTCCCCTTTCACTCTCACGCCCCGTCTCTTTCGCCGCACCTCTGTATTCGACCCCGCTCTCTTTCGATCCTACACTCTCCGTCCCCTCTCTGCACCCCCACACCGTCTCACTCTCTTCTCCACTCCACTCGCTTCTCCCCGCTCTGTTAGTCTCGTCCCTTTTCTGTCCCACTCCTCTCTACTACGCCTCCCCCTGCCGTGCGACGCCACTCATTCTTTCATCCCAGGCTCTCTCACCTCGCTCAACACCGTCCTACCTTTTTGCCCCAGCCCCACCCCTCTTTATTCGTCCCTCTCTAAATCTGCGCCGCCCACCCGCTCGTCTCCTTTCTGGCCGTCATTTCTCGGTTACCCCGGTTCACTGCGTCCCGCCTCTCATCTCCATCTCACTCTCGCTTCACTCTCCTCTCTCCTACCGTATCCCCTTCCTCTCCACACCGCCCTACCTGCCCAATTTTCCATATTCTTCCCTCCCCTTTTTCACGCTCCTCCTCGTCTCGTTGCCCGCATCCTTTTAACTCGCTCTTCGCCGCTCCCTTGGGTTCGAACTTTTCCTGTCCCAATCCTCTCTACTCCGCAACGTGATCTCAACACTATAGCTGGATTCACAACTGCAACGCTTTGAACTTCTGAAAATCGTGACGATCGTTTTTTGTTAGGTTAGTTGAGGTGAGCGTCTACCTGCACACTCTCTTACGAGTTGAATGTGTCTTGTGCGTTTTTTGTGATGCTTACAATCATCTCTGTCAACGAAAACAAGAAGGTATTGCGCAGCATTCGGTTGTAAAGAACGCCAATAGACTGATGAACCAGATTGCGAATGTTTTAGATTATTTGGTAGCCATTACTTCAATACTTTTTTTTACGACTACCATTATTTGCGATAAGTTGACCTAGGGAAATTATTAAAGGTACGCAAACCAATAACACACAATGTTAAAAAAGGCTTCAAGAAATAAAAGACTGGATTTTGTATTGTATGTAAGTTACAATTTCGAAGTATTAAGTATTGGTTACTTTCAAATTTGTATTGCGTTTTCGTAAAGACAAAAGAGAATAAATATTTAAAATGGGAATGAGGCGCTAATTCCTGCTATTATGTTCTGAGATAACTAGGACCGACTAAGACATTCACAATCATAGCGAACCGTCACGATTCCTGAGCGCAGAGTGTTGTCTCCCTTCTACACTAGAGCTCGCTGATTCCACCACACATCACTGCCTTGCCCCGCCGTGTTCCGCTTCTACCCCTTTCACCCATGCTCTCTCACGTCGCTCAACCCCGTCCTACCTTGTTGCCCCCGCCC